AAGGAACCCCCCACACCCCAGTCACAGCAACACCCTTAAACTAGTTATCGCCTGGCCACAGAAGTTCCATTACTGCAAGATGAAATGCTATTTTTACTGAAAGCTGCCTTGTTCCAGGCTAGTCTTGGGTGGGGGTTTTATACCATAGGACCACTTCCAACCAAGTTCATTTCTGGCTTCCATAACTTAGTCGCCTGGTATCCTCATCTCAGTTTCCCACACTGGATAATAGAGATCAATGAGGGAACCCGAGAAGGTCACAAGTGCAGCAGGTATTACCGATTAGCTCAAACTACTACTGCTCACTTGGGACCTACCCCTTTCTGATCACTTGCTTTAAAAGTATGGATTCAAATTAGTATATCTGTTTCTTACCTACCTCACTTACAGTTTTATTAACCTTCCACCAATTCATCTACCAGAAAAAGTCCCTTCTTAGGACCCCGTAACTATCAATATGTAAAAACACCCTAGAAAATAACTTCGACTACATCTCTTTGTCGCAAAAGTACTGAATTCTCCCTGGAAAAAGGAAAATATTCAAATATGCATGGATGGCAAAGAAAGAGCTGAACGTTTCGGACTATGTCTTGTGGCCCTGGTCTCAGATTCATTATTTGTTCTATAATAGCACTAGTAACACTGCTCTCCTATTTCATATCAGTAACCATAACTTCACCCACCCAGGGATGCAGGTTAAAAACTCAGTAGGATATGATTTTGAACTTCCTGCTCCTTGCATGCATGGGACTGACCTTATTGAGTAGCCTCCACACACAGGTCCCAGGAAAGAGACAATGAGGCATAGCTGGACAGCTGATGCCTTCCTTGTGTCTGTGACAGGCAGCTGCCTCAGTGGTGTGCTTTCAAGGCAGCTAGATGGCCTTGCCCACAAACCTCCACCCTGCATCTGCATCCTAATTACTATTGCCACACATAAGGTTATTCCTGGAAATTTTGGGGCTGGGTACAGAAAGCCTCCAGATTGCTGTGACTCTGAGGCTTGACTTCCTCGTTCCTGTTGTTTCCTTACGAACCTGTGAAGAGGTGGACCTGCCTGATGTAGGCACAATTGCTTTTCCTTGCTTCAGGAAGAGGAGCTGTCTTATGGTCTTTGACAAGCAAGAAATTTTTCACACACTTCTTCCAGTTGTTTTTGATGTTTTCTTTCCAGCTGTATACATATCCTATTCACTTGTTGATGCTACAAACAAACATCTCTGCTAGGTCACTGCTGTTATTCAAGTGTTGGAATTTCTGGAAACCTGCCTCCTACTTTTCTCCTACCTTGGACTCTACACTACTACCGAAGTTAAGTAGAAAATAAATATCTGGTAAAGCCCAGTTGAGGACTTTTGTTTGCCGCTCAAAAACATCTCTGTAGCTTTCAGAATGAAGGCCATATTATTTGACAAAACACATAAAGTCCATGCCTCAGCAGCAGGCTACTTTACAGCTTTATCCCCTGTCACTGTACCCCACAAGGCCTGCATCTCTCCCTTACCAAACTGGCTGCCTTCCTTTTTGCAAAACAGTACAGCCAGAGCTATTCTCTTTATTCGTTGTTTCATCCTTAGCATGGCACTCAGTACTTGTGAATTAATTATTACTTGCTCTTTTCATCAGGTTCTTGTAAAATATTTTACATATTATCAGAGCATTTCTTATATTTTAATAACTTTAATATAAATGTAACTGATATTTATTTTGCAGCAGTCAAAAAATATAGGAAAGCTGACAGATGAAAATAAGACATCTGAAGCTGGGCGTGGTGGCGCACACCTATAATCCCAGCACTCAGGACGCTGAGGCAGGAGGATCACTGTGAGTTCAAGACCAGCCTGGGCTATATAGTGAGTTCCAGGTCAGTCTCAACTGCATAGTGAAACCCTGTCTCAAAAACCAAAAAATAAAAATAAATTTAAAAAAATAATAATAATAATAAAATAAAAGACATCTGGAAACTCACCTCTCGATCTTGGTATGTATTCCTACTAGTCAGTTTTCTAAAGGACTATTTCCAATTGTCATATACTCAGTCTCAGTGTCATTTAATAATGCTGATTGTGCTTCTCATTCCCTGCAATGCTTATGTGACATCCTTCTGTCCTATTCTGTTTCTTGGCTGGCTTCTCTTCTGCTGCCAGCCCCCTAAATTATGGTGTTGCCAAGCATTCTCTCTTCCACCCTCTTATTTTCTCATTCTACGTATTTTCTCTTTGGATGCTCTCATCCACACCCAAAGCTTCAAATATCATTACAGATGGCCCCAACTTAGGCTCATTTATTTAGAATCTTCCAACTATATGATGGTGCAAAAGCAATTTGCATTGAGTACAAACCATACTTAAAATTGTGAACATTGATCTTTTCCCAGCAATACGCAGCAGGACACTGTGATGTCATGGTGGTGGACAGTGGCAGTGAGCCAGAGTTCGTAGCGACACACATGATCACAAGGGGAAACAGCCAATACCCTACAGGTTACCTAAGGTTGCTAAGCTAGGATATTCTATAGGTTCATCAAATGCATTTTTGTCATGCAATATTTTCAACTTACTATGGACTTACCAAGATGTAACCCCATCATAAGCGGAGGAACATGGTTATTTGATGATCTGTAACTTCTGGGTTCTGACACAGTACTTCCTAGGGATTCCTCAGGTGCCAAAAATTTATGCATTTCTAAAACTCAACTCATAACGTCTTTTCCTCACAACCTAATATTTGTCACTTCAGTGATTAGCCAGGCATTGATTACACTGAGAGGTGTCACAGACTCCCCCTTTTCCTGAGCCCCTCTCTGGGGAGGCAAGGGTATTGCTTCCAATTTTTTGGGCCCCCTAAACTCATGAAATGAATGGATTTCATTCTTTTCTAATGCCTTTAATGACATATCACTGAAGATCAAAGATGTAAATATGACCTCAAACATCCACATGGTATTGATATATACAGTCAGGAAATTACTGCTTAGCTCTTTGATGAGATGTACACAGCCATAAATCTCTGTGGAAACTGGATCGATAGAGCAAAATAGAACCTTTTTGGAAGCCTACAGAAAAGGTACCATTTGTCCTTTAAAGGTGTCTGACCAAACACCTTAGTCTAATACAAAGCTTATCTGAGCAGTCTTGTATAGGGAAACCAGAAATGACAGGTGATACTCTTCATCTACCTATGGAATGGAACATTCTGATATCTACCTTGAAACTTTAGGACTAATTTCTTTTCAGGGGTGATGAGTGAGAACAGTGACTATTTCAACAGGACAGTCCTAAATTTCTCCACGAGTGGACCTTAACTGAGAAAAAAATTTAAAGATACACTTTTTATTTTTCTAATAAATGCATTAATAAAATAATTATTCAAGTAGCAAACATTTGCTGAGAACCCAGGAGGCCTTCTCAATCTGGATGTACAGAATAAAAAACATTGCCCTCCAAGAAGTTCTTGCAGTATGATTTGTTGATGTGTTGCTTTCTATTGTAGCAGCCCAGTGGCATGGACACCATCTTTACTTATCATCACAGCCTTTAGAATGCTTAATATGATGGTGTACTACAGTGGAAGTATTTATAGCTGCAGTTAAATCTGGAGACCCTCAGTCTGTCAGTCTATCAGTCAGTTTCCTCCGCAGCATCGCTGGTACCTCTTCTGCCTTGGCCACTAGATCTCTCCTCTTTCAGGGGACTGTGAAATCGTGAAAAATGAGGATTCCACACTTTTGAGAGCAGTCAACCAATAAAAAGCCATGGATAATAGTCCTGCACTGCAAAAGAACATTTTTGTAAAGTCCAAACCAAATCAAAAGGGAGCCAAGTTAAATTCTAGGTGAGGCAGTGGAACTGTGACAAATTTGAAAAAGCTTTTAGTCAAAGTTCAAGGAACGCTAGCACCAAGGTGGACATATTCTTGAGGATGTTTGACTCTTACATCATACAATGATTCCTTCCATTTTACTGGAAGTTCTGAAATGAAGTTTCATTTTGTTGCAATTATTCTTTGAAGATCATGAGTTTAAATTGAGTAACATATTGCCCAATCTACAATAATAAATATCCATTTTGTCGGTTCAAATGAGAAGCCTCTGTGTCAGTTTCCTAGTATACTGTAACAAAGTACCACAGACTTAGTTGCTTAAATGACAGGAATTTATTGTCCAAGCTATGGAATCTAGAAGTCAGAAATCAAGGTGTCCATGGACTGGGCTCTTGAAGGCTGTGGTAGAGAAGCATGTGTTTCATGCCTCCTGGCTTGTAGTGGTTTGCCAGGGAATTCTCTTGGCTTGGACACACATCATCCAGTCTCTTGCCTTGATGTTTACAGGGTGCTGACCTGTATGTGTGTATCCAGATTTCCTCCCCTTTTTAAGGACGCTAGCAGCACTGGTTACCTTGGCTTAGGAGCCCACCCTGCTCCAGCATGCTGTTCTCTTAATCAGTGACATCTATAATGACCATTTTTTTCAAATAAACTCACACTCTAAAGTACTGGAGGTTAAGATTTGATGAATGTGTGCAGAGGAATACAATTCAGCCCATAGTGGGGCCCAGCTTTGCAGTAAGTGCCCAACCAAAGCAAAGTGGGGACAGATGTCCTGAGAGGCAAAAGGGCCTGGCGCGCTCTAAGGACTGACAGAGCGGGAATGGGACTCTGGAGCGGAGTGTGGGGTGAGGACTGGAATGCAGAATCTAGATTGAGGAGTTGGGGTTTTATTCTACAAGCAGTGGGAGGACTCTAAAGAGACGATTTCTTAGAGGAATTTGCCACTGTTCTTTTAATGAGATAGCTACAGTCCTATTGCAGTTGAATTTACTGACAACAGAGTGTTATTTATATGTAGTCTCTCTATTCTATTTTTTTTATTCCTGAGCTAAAATGTTTGCTCACCTTTAACTTTTGGTCTGATTTTTCATCTCCACAAATAAATGACTTTAATTTAATTAATGGCTTCCCCTTCTGAATAAAAATCACCTTTCCATTAAGAAGGAGATACAGTGCTCACTTTGGCAGCACATATGCTAAAATTGGAACAATACAGAGAAGATTATCATGGCCCCTGTGGAAAGATAACACACAAATTCATGAAGCTGTCCATATGTGCAAAACCTGGGATCCTTCCCAGATGAGAATCCATAAGCAATTCATTGACTTGCACGATGAGATTGTTAAGCATTTTACTCCCATCAGTACTGAGCCAGGAATGAAAGTAGAAGTAACCAGTGCAGATGCCAAAGGTAAGTTTTTCAATAAATTGATTATCAGTTATTTTAAAAAGATGTATTCAACCTCTGGTTCCAGGCACGTACTATCTTCCTCAGACTGTTTGGTGTGAACAGTGATGTGTCACCATTTGTAGCACCACAAAATCAACATCCATTCCAAAGCTGTAATTGCTTCAAATGCATTTTATTTTACAGGGCTGGGGGTTGAACCCAGGGCCTTCAACATGCTAGGCAAGTGCTCTAGTGCTGAGGGCCCTTGCCTTTTTTATTTTTTCAATAAAACACTCCTTACATGATAGATTCTGCCAAATTGATTTTTCATGCAAACTAGCATAAATAAAACTTCATAGCTTTCTCTGAATGCTTTGTAATAAAAGTAATACTAGTTTTAACAGTTCATCACATATTTTTTCAGCCTCAAACTGGGTCCTAGCTCTAAGGCTGCACTCCTTTCAAACCAAAAAAAAAAAAAAAAAAAAAAAAACCCCAGTTTTTTCCGTTTTTTTTTGAAGGGTCGTTTTCCATGTTGAAGTGGAATGCCGTATGAGAAAAAAGATTCTAATGCTTTAAAAAAATCAAAGCCAAAAATACTGTTGGTCTTATTTCATTTTTAGATCATTAGAGATAAATAAGGAGAACAACCAGCCATGCTTTGATACAACATACAACCCAAGGAAGGAAGTGGGTAGGCCCAGCAACAGGCTGTGCAAGCCCTATAGTTCAGCAAGTTCACACTGGGTGAGCCAGGAAGGGTCCATCATAAATGGAGTTGTGCTCAAATTGTCTCTGTTTTTCTTTGTTTCACCTCCTATCTTGACAAAAACGCTTCACCTTTCTAACAGCATAGAACCAGCAGAATTGTGACCATGTTTCACAGCATATGTGGTTGATGTCATGCTTTTATGACACTTTATGACAAACCTTTTTTTCCTGATTGAGAAATTAGAAGAACATCATCTCTAACCCTTTCATCTCTCACAATGCTTCTGTTTAACTGGCCACATATATACTTTTGTTGTTTGTGGGTATTTTTGTTTATTATGAATTTAAGTGTGATAGGAATATTTATTTTATTGGTGTATAGGATAAGACCACAAAGATGATCATACATAAAATTAAAGAGAACTACATCAGAACATGAATAGTGATTGCCTTTAATGAGACTATGAGTAGCTTTTGTTTTTGTCTATCAAAAAATTACCACTTTAGAGAATGGATTTTATTTTTGTCATAAAATTTTAGATAACTTTTATAAGTGATTTTAGAAATTTACTCTCATACTCTTATGATTTTTATATATAAATTACTTTTAACTTTTAGCTGTTTATTTCCATAGTGCTTCAAAAAAGAAAGCACTGAAGTTTACATCCAAGATATCTTAAAGTATAATATGTTGAGAATTTTAAAATTTATTTACCTTCAAGTGACATAGAAGATCCCCTATAAATGCTATGCTCTTTCTCCTAGATTTTTATCAAAATATTTACAAAAGAATTTATTTTTGTTTTAGTAGTTCAAATATTTTCTCTTCAGAGGAACATATAATGAACATGAACAAACTTTGGAATTTAGTGCTCCTGAAATATAAAAATAATGTATAAATAATTTTTAAATTTAAAAATTATTGAATTTTTAAATTTCTAATTGTAAATTTCATATAGCTTACATGCAAATTCTAAGCAGTAAGTTCAAATTCTTAGATCTCAAACATGAATGAGGACTCAAGAAAAATGAAGTTTTTGTTTAAATTAGTTCTTCTGGCTTTCTTTCTGGCACTTTCATATTTACTCATCATATTGTCTATTTTGCTTGCTTGACTTCCATATATAACCAGATTAGCAAAAGAGGAAAGAGAAGAACATCTCCTTTGGGCAATGAGGGAAATTCTCTCACACACACACAGAAATCCATGTGTGTGCACACAAAAGATAGATCCTCATTTGGAATGCAGCACATTTTTTTTCCTCACAGAAACAGGAAACACCAATATTATAAGTATGTAGTTTACCTTCATTCTGGGTTAAAAATAGTGGGCCGGCCTGAGACTATGCACATTTATTACATTGTATATATGGAGAAATTTCATTTGCATTTAAGCAGCTACTTTCAGAAGAATCTGTGAGAGCACACCTAATATATGGGTCTGGGACTGCTTCTCCAAAGCAGCAGGACTGTGCTCAGTATTTTGGAGGAAGTAAGGAGAAAAGAGACTTGCTTCCTGATCTCAGGGTGCTTGCAGAGTACCTGGGTAGACAAGCCTACAATGAAAAGATCTTTACTGTAAGATGAAGGTTTGGAACCTAGTCCCAGGGAACACTTTCATATATTCACCTGCCTATTTAACACCTGTTTCTTGACTTTATAGTGTATCTCTATTTTTATATTTTTCTATATATTTAATGATATTCTAAAATTAATAATACACGATTGTAGTCAAACATTTGGCTACTATAGACATCTGTAGTGGGAAAATTACTTTTAAAAACTTGAATATCTGTCAGTAGTGAGTGACTGAATAAACTGGTTGATTGATTCTGTGGGATGTTATACACCCACAAAGAAGAGTATCTGTTGGCTGGGTATGGTGGTGGCATATGCCTGTAATTTCAGCACTCTGGGTGACTGAGGCAGGAGGATCTCAAATTTTAGCCCAGCCTGAGCAACTTAGTGACTTAGTAAGACCTGTCTGAAAGTTAAAAAAATAAAGGGCTGGGACGTAGCTCAGAAAAGACCCTGGATTCAACCCTCCCCCCAACACACACAGTAAAGTTTAGGGTGCAAGGAAATTTCATATTTTGGTTTCTTGTGCAAAGACAAGAGTGACTCTAAAAACTTTGAATTTAAAAGGATGAAGGTATAGATACCAAGTTATCAACACTGATCGCTTATATGTGTTGAGAAAAGGATGTGTAATACAAAATGAAAACAAAATTAAATAGAAAATGAAAACAATTTTAATTTCTGATTTTCACTTTATTAAGTAGTGTATGTGTGTGTACTTGCATCTGTGTTTATATTTCTACATAAACTTCCCCGAGCAATTAATTATAAATCGATATTTCTTGACTGCCCACTATGTTTGCATCACCTCAGGGGTCTTCTGGTAAGAGTCTTTTGACCCCAAATCACCCAGCAGACCCACATGGTAATTTCAAAATAGGCAGTCTTTTCAGTTCCCATGACATCTGTCTATTCTCCAGGTGGAAGGGCTCATCTTAGTACGTCTGTATATCTCGACAACCTGGTGGACAAGAGTTTCCCAAAGTATAAAACTACAGGGCTAAGGAGGGTTTCTCTTGTGCCATGGTGGGTCTTACTCCCTCTGTAAAGGTCCTTGTGCTGAGTTCTACATCACCTTAAAGGACCAACATGGCTGCCTTCTAGACAGGCTGATGGACTGGGAAGGAAGCCAGCTGCTGGCGGAGTCTAGTCTGCTGGCTACACTTTGAGAACAAAGTGCTGCATACATTTCTGCTCAACATTACTCATAAGCCCACGGCATAACTTCATATACCATGGAAAAAATGGATGCTTTCAGTTTCCTCTACCTCTTCTGGGCAATTATTCATCAGGAAACAGATGGATACTACACGAACATCACACTTTCTTCAGTCGAGCACAAAGCACAACAATTAGATAGTTCCCTGGTTTGGACGTAGCTCGAGTGTGTCCCCCAAATGTTCACATGCTGGAAATTTGATTGCCAGTGTGGTGGTGCTGAGGTAGTAGAACCTTTCAGAGATGGGGACTGGTGGAAGTGATTAGATTCTGAAGTGTGCCGCATTTGGAAGGAGTTAATGTAGTTCCCTTGGAAACCTGGTTACTTCCCAACAGAGTTGGTTGTCAATTAAAAACAAAAACAAAAACACAAGCCTGGCCCCTGAATCCTTTGGCTTCCTGTCTTGCTTTGTGATCTGTCTTGTAAGCATTCTCACTACGATGCCATCTGACATATTGTGATGTAACCAGGAGGTCCTCACCAGAGCCAAGCAGATTCTGGCTCTGTTCTTACATGTCCAGAATTGTGGACTAAATAAAACTCTTCCCTCTATAAAGTACCCCGATATTCTGTTATAACAACAGCAGCAACAACAACAAAAATAAACACAGATAGCAAATAATGAAGCATAGCAAGGACTATCAAAGAAAAGGCTTCCAGCAGGTAGTGGGATGTGCAATTTGCCTTAAAGAATAGCAGAGTAACACCAAAAAAGGATCATGTGTGTGAATAAAAGCTTTCAGACTTTTAAAAATCCACTCACCACACAGAGAGCAATCTGAGAAACTCATCTGGTACTATGGTCCAAAACAGTTCCATTTTTAAACAACAAGGGTTTGTTGAATTATATATTGAGAGTGTCAGTAGAGTTATGAAACTAGTTTCATCAACTAAAAATTGAGGATGAGAAGGGGAATCCTAAAAGCAACATGTGGAAGAAATATGTGCATTTTATAAGATCTCCAAGGCAGCTTTCAGCCTCTGAAACTATAGATTTAAAACTATTTCCTTGTGACATTTTTATTTCTGAGGAATGAAAGGGAAAAGTTACCGTCGCCCGATGAGTACCTGCAGTGAACTCTTCTGGGCCTCAGGGCATTCATTAGTGGACAGCTGATGTAATGATGGTGGTGGACTCACTTCTGGTCACATTCGGGATGAACAGAAAAGCAACCTCCAGTTATTTGTTAACACAGTATTCACCCACAAGGTACTTTAATTACATGGCTATGTCTATTCTATAACATCAAACATCTGGTGAAAACTTAAGAAAATATCTTAGATCCAGGTGTTTAGCTTATAGTCATGCAGGCAGAATACCTGTGCGCTAAAATAGTTTTTCACCCAGACAACTGGAAGTATGTGCCTGTAGTCCAGCTT